CCAGCCTTCTGGTTAGCAGTCAAGTGCCTTAGGCACTATGCTACCAGAGCTCCTAACAGAGTCCTTAGCATATAACAAATGCTTGATAACCAGTTTTCAAAACAAAACTTAAAAGGAAGATTAGAACTTGAAGCTTCTAATTGTCCCTCAGCAGTCTTTGCAAGATTTGGCTTCTGAAATGTTTGTACAGGGTTGTTTTGGACATGTATCTTATGCAAGGTTTCCAAATATCAGGAACAATTTCAGGCTAGTGTTTCACATTAGTCATCTTGAACTCTTCTATGAAACTCGTGAGGTTTGGTTCCTGGGAAAAATCTGAAACCATATTTACATATGCTTCTTGGAGTTTGGTTTTGTGAAGGGTCAACTGGGAGAGCCACCACAGGCTTTGCGCTTAAGGCTGTAGAAAGGAGGTGAGCAGGTAGTGATGTCAGGAGCACATTCAGTGTTCTTTCTCCATCCTCCTTAAGCCTAACCTCAAGCCTTTCCTGTGTCTGATGGTACAGCAATCCTAACATCTGATGTGCTTCTTATATGTTTCTCTCCTTACTGGACTGAGGTTTAGACCTGTCTCTAAGGTCTAGCATGTTGTATGGCACATAGCAGGCACATTAGAATGAATGAACAAATCAAAGGTGATTGGTCCCATTGCTATATAAAGCCATGAGTTATATATATATATCCATATTATGACATTCTCAGTCTCTGAAACAGCTCTTTGGTAACTGGACCTCAGGTAGTCACCTAGAACATCCCTGTATGCCCACAGTCCAGTAGTTGATGTAACTGTGATCCTGAGTGATAAAGGAGTGGCTGTTCTTTACTCAGTATATCCTTTTTAAGGTGGAGAATTAGTAATATTGTTCAGAAAGCTTTCCAGGAAAAACATTTTAAAGTTGTTAACTCTAGTCGCTTAAATGTGCAGATAATTTCTTTTCCCAAAGGTTGCTAACATTCTACTACTGTGTTTTTTCATTTTTCACTTCCCAATAAGAAGCTTGAAGTTCTTAACATACTGGCTATTTTTAGGAGACATGAAACAGGTAGATTATCAAACCTCTTTTATTTATTTAATTATTTTGTTTATATTGTGATTTGGGTGAAGGTTTTCAGAGCAAATTTGTCCATTCAGCAGTTCGTACACATTTTGTTTTCTGACGTTGACTACAATCCCCATTATGTAACTTCTCTCTTCCCACTTGCTCTCTATGGTTGTTTTTTCCCTGTGTCCTACTTCCCTAAGCATTCCTGCCCTCTGAGCTATCTCCCTGTGCAAATGCTGTCCTTCTGATCTCCCATGGTTGATTGTTCTAAGGAGTGTACCTATCTGGTGTCGTTGTTCACCTCCTAGGTCTGTTTGTTGTTTGAAGTTAAGCCATAGGAGTGAGTTCAATTCCAGGCCCAAAAGGTGACTAGAGGCCACAGTGTTGGAGGTTTCACCAGTCTCTATCAAACCAGTAACCCTTTTTTGTGATTTTGAGTTTTGTTCCACATATTTCTCCAATTCCATCTAGGATCTCCAATTTTGATCCCTTTTTGAGTGTTGGCAATGGTAGCCAGGCACCATCTAGTTGCTGTGGCCTCAGTGTCATGTAGGCTGAGGTTCACATGGTCAACCAGTCCCTTGGACTAATTGTTTCCATGCATCTTTCATTTTCCTCATTCTTCTTTGCTCTGGAGGAGGAGAAACTCATTGTTGCATCTTAGATGGCAGCTTGCAACCGTTTAAGACACCAGCTACTCCTCAACAAAGTAAGGTGTAGAACAGTGTTTTGTGTAGAATGTTATGCCAGTTGAGTTTATCAAGCCTTGTTTTGCAAATGAGAAAAGAGACATAAGTAATTGGTGTCATTTCTGTCAATAACTAGTTGAGTAATGGTGGTTCAGATTGTGGTTTCGATTTCCATTCAGTATTTCCTCACTGTTTCATATTGTCTTTCTAATACTTTAAGCACTTTTGAAGCCCAAAGTTTTAAAAATTGGCTACCATTAGTGTGGAGTCATCTGTTTCTTCAATTCTGTTAAAGTCTGATTTATGTATTTTGGAACTCTTTTCATTGGGTGAGTAGATATGTATTATGGTTATGTTCTCTTGTTCAAAGGATCTGTTAATCATTATATAATGTCCTCCTTTTTCTCTTATAATGGTTTTTGTCTTAAAGTCTATTTTATCAGAAATTAATATTGCTACTCTTCTTTTTTGATTGTCATTTGCTTGAAACATTTTTTTCCAGTATTTGAGTTTTTGTGTTTGTTTTTGTGTCTAAGTTGTGTCTCTTGGGGACAACATATTGATGGGTCATCTTTTCTTATCCATTCTGCAACTCTCTGTCTCTTGATTGATGGCATTTAATCCATTTACATTCAGTGTAATTATGAATAAGTATGAATTTATGTTTGCCATTTTGTTATTTTATTATTATTTTTGTGATGTTACTGATTTCTTTGTTCCCTATAATTTTCTGTGCTGACCTCATTTTGTTTATGAATTTTTTTTATCATTTCCTTTATTGCTGTTGTTTTAGTATTTGCTAGATTTTTGTGCCTTTTTCTTTTGATGAGAAGGTTTATTGATTTTCTTTGAGATTACTCTGTGATTTATTATTTTCTTCCTAACTTTAAAATAATCTGTTCTAGCTGGAAATTGCCTTGACTTCATCTTTATTTGGAAGTTCTATATCTATACTATTTATTCCCTCTTTTTGGGTCGTAGTTGTCCTCATTTACCAATTGATGTCTCTGGTTCCCTATTTACAATCTTATAAGTTTATTTTACTTTGGATACTTCTATATCTGAGTTGGTTTCTGGGTTATGTTACTATGTATGTTCATCATCAGTTGTTGTCTGCTATTGTTGGTTCTCTTTCCAAAGAGAACCTTTCCAAAGGACTTCCTTGAGCATCTCTTGTGAGGTTGGTCTGGTTTTAGCAAATTCCCTTAATTTCTGTGTATCTGGAAATGTCCTGATTTCACTATCATATTTGAGAGACAGTTTTGCTGGGTATATAATTCTTGGTTGGCAATTTTTTTCTCTCAGAGTTTTATATGTGCCATACCATTGCTTTCTTGCCCACATGGTATCTGTTGAGATATCAGAGCTTAGTCTTATTGGGTGCCCTTTGTATGTAACTTTGCATTCTTCCTGTGTTGTGAAGCTCAGAGAGTTTTTATAGTAAAATAAAAATTTTAAATATTTATATGTATATGTGTGTGTGTATATATATCTATATATATATGTATGTATGTATATGTTTAAAAGTATAAACTATGGACCTACTTTGCTGTCACTGCCTTTAGGAATTTTCTTGAAGAAACATTTTGTAGGTGAAACCACTTCTGGTGAGATTTTTTTAGTATAGGTGTTTTGAGACAGCAAAGTACTATTCATTATAGTTGTTTATGTGAAAATTGGGGGGAATTGTAAAGGGAGTGAATAAAAGGAGCATATGTTCTCTGTTAAGCAGATGGCAAAATATGAACCAATATGAAATGTGGGAATAGTCTCAATTTCAGTACCAGATGGAACCCATTTTATGCTGAATACTATTTTATAGGAAATACTGTTATAATAAGGTTTCAGTGTGTTGCAGTTAAAGTGCCTGTCTATAGATAGGCAGTCTGGTAAGTACTTTATACTTACATTATCCTTCCTAGAATGAGTACATTTTTTTTTTAACTTTTTATTTTGAGATAATTTCAAATTTTCATAAAACTTGCAGAAATAATATGCAGGGCTCCCTTAGACTCTTTACCTAGATTCCTTAATGCTAACAATTCTGATCCATTTGAGAATAAGTTGCAGACATTACCCCCTCTACTTTGTAGAATCTCTCTGAATTTGGCTTTATGTGGTGTTTCCTCATGATTTATGCATTTTGGGCAGGAACATTACAGAAGGGATTCCATTCTTTTTTTTTCTGTTTCATATTGGGAAGTACATGACAGTGATTTGTCTTGTTACTATGATGTAAACGTTTTTATTACTTGGTTGAAAGTATGTTTTACAGGTTTCTCTACTATAGATTTAATTAATAAAAATATTAATTAATGAGTTATGTATTTTGTGGGAAAATACTTCAATACTATATAAATTCCTGTTTCCTTTAAATTTTCATCCATTTAACATTTAGTCAGTCATTCATGGATGATTTTTGCCTGAATCAACTATTAGTACTATGATAATGATCAAATGGTTTTTTTTTTTTTTTTTAATTTTCATCATGTCTTCTAAATGTATTACTTGGCATTTTCCTTGTTAAAGCTTTACCTTCTTTTCTTATATATTTGTTTATTCATTAACTTATTTTTATTGGTATAAGCTTATGAAGTCCCAATCTGTCATGTCATTTTTGTTGATGCTTAAATTATCTTAGACTTAACCAGTGAGAGCTCTACCTAGGTATCTTTTGTGTCCTTTTGACAAGTTCCCTCCATTCTTTAAGCATTTCTTTATTTTCTACTCAAGAAGATGTTTCAGGCTTATCTTGTATTGTTCATGCCCCAGCCATAGTCAGTCAGTCATCCAATGAACTCTGGTTTCTTTTAGTGGAAAATAGCAGCTAGAAAGCAAGATGTAGGTATTGAGTGTGTTCACTGTTGCTGGGCTCATTGCTTCTAGGCCCTCACAGGTATTGGTGCTAGGAATTTGTAAGTACACACCCACACACCCACCCATATATGGGCTTATCTATTTTTATCTATCTAACTGTTAAAAACCGTAGATTAGTACCACTACCTACTTAAGCTATTTTCTTAGTTTGATTTCTGCTTCTGTTGTTGTTAGTTACCATTGAGTCACCCCCCACTCATGCCCAGCAGAATGAAATGCTACCTAATCCTGTGCCATCCCCGTGATTGGTTGTGGATTGGATCACTGTTTTCATTGGCTGATTCTTGGAAGTCGATTGCCAAGCCTTTCTTCCTAGTTCGTATACTTATGTAAGGAGCTCTGATGGTGTGCCTGAGGTATTTGACTGCTAACCAGAATGTTAGCAGTTCAAACCTACCTGCAGATGGGGCAATCCATAAACATTTACTGCCTTGGAAACCCAAAGGAGGTAGCTGTGAGTTGGAATTGACTCGATGGCAGTGAGTTGTTTTTTGGTTTGATACTTCTGTAGCTCATTTGAGTTCTTATTAAAATCAAAATGATTTTGAGATACTTGAAATTACAAGTACTGTGTAATTTAAAATTAAATTAATAGAGATCGAGTATGTCAATCTTTTTTAACTGGTTGTTGTTGTTGTTATGTGCTGTCAAGTCGGACCCAACTTATAGTGACCCCTCCTTGGCTTTCCAAGGCGGTATCCCCACAGAAGTAGATTGCCCAACCTTCTTTCCGAGAAGTGGCTGGTGGGTTTGAACCACCAGCCTTCTGGTTAACAGTCAAGCATCTTAGACACTACTCTACTAGAGCTCCCTTTAACTGGTTAGGGATGGGGAAAGATACAGTTTTCATAATTGTAGCAAAGTAGGTATAACAAAAGAAATTTTAGTCCTATTCTGAGCATTGTTGGCAGTTAATTTTGGTCAATACTATATGCAGTGTGGAAAGTGAAAATTGTCTTTTTTTTCCCTGTTTGTTCTAGGAAACGAGATTATGAAGGCTATTTATGCTCCCTGCTGCTCCCTGCAGAATCCCGAAGTGCTGCATTTGCATTGAGGGCCTTCAATGTGGAACTGGCTCAGGCTGGTATTAAAATACCTTAGTATATTACTTATAAAATGATGATAATTAAGGATTTAATGCTGAACAGTCAAGTGTAATTGTCATTTGTATGTTGGATTTTTTTTTTCTTTTTCAAACAGTAATTTATTGTGTTTTTGGTGAAAGTTTACACAGCAAATTTAGGTTCCCACTTAACAATTATCACACAGTGTGTTCATTCACATTGGTCACGTTTTCACAGTGTTAACATTCTCCTTCACTCCATTCTGGATGCTCCATTTCAGGTGACCTGGGTCCACATCCCCTTGCCTTTCATTTTTGCTTTAGAGTGATTGTGGACTATCTAGTCTCACACAGATGATTTTGTAAAAGTGCACAGTAATCGCTGGTATATGTTAGATATTTTTAAGATCACTGCTGGAGATTTATTTCTTCTGGTAACTATTGAGGCTTAATGATTAAACTCTAAAAATAAAGCTAACTGATGAACTTAATATTTCTGGAGAACTTTATTTCTACAGATTAAAACTGTGAAATTGCAATTACCATGGCACTTTTGTCTGTTAATTGAATAAGTTTATCAGAGTATTGTTACTTATTCTCTCAAGCAATTGCATAATTCCTATTTATACAGCAAGTTTTTCAAAGCACTTTTTAAATTGAGGTTTTAGCTTTAACATGAATTAGGGAATGGAAGCAATTATAGCTTCAGACCGTAGATCATATTAACTCACTTTTTAAAAATATTAAGTGCAGTTTTAGCTTTACAGCAAGAAAAAGTGAGCAGAAAGTACAGAGTTCCCAAATGCTCCTTTTCCCTCTGCCTATAATTTCCCCTATTATTAACATCTTGTTGTAATGTGTTGCATTTACTATAACTGATGAACTGATATCAGTTATTATTAACTAAAGTTCATAGTTTATGTTAGAGTTTACTCTTTGTTTTGTATGATTTGTGTTATATGCTTGTCACATAGCCATCATGACAGTAACCTACAGAATAGTTTTATTCTCTTAAAAATCCCCTACGTTCCATATACTCACCATTCTCCCCAGCTGTTTACCCATCAAAAAACCTTGGCAACTGCTGATATTTTTATTGTCTCTATTGTTTTGCCTTTTCTAGAACATCATACTTGGAATCATAGTTTATATAGCATTTTCAGATTGGCTTCTTTCATTTGCAATATGCATTTAAGATTCCTCTGTGTCTTTTCATGACTTGATAGCTCATTTCTTTTTATCATTGTATCATACTCCATTGTATTGATGTACCACAGTTTGCTTATCCATTCACCTATTAAAGGACATCTCGGCTGCTTTCAAGTTTTGGCAATTACTAATTGAGCTACTGTTATGTGGACATATTTTCAACTCATTTGGGTAAATATCTAGGAGCACCATTGCTGGATTGTGTGTTTAGGTGTGTAAGAAACTGCCAGACTGTATTCCAAAGTAAGTGTACCATTTTGCAAATCTACCATCAATGAATGGAAGTTCCTATTGTTCCACATCCTTTCTAACATTTGGTGGTGTTTGTGTTTTGGAAATGTGTGTGGTATTATCCCGTTGTTTTAATTTGTAGTTACTGCATAACATGTAATAATATCTTTCAAAATTTGTTTTATTTTTGGTGAAAAATACACACAACAAAAATACACCCATTCGAAATTTTCTTCATGTATAATTCAGTGATGTTGGTTCCTGTCTTAATATTGTTTTGCCATTCTTGCTATCTCTTCCCACATTTTACCACCATTAATTAGACTCAAGCCCCAAAACCAAACCCATTGTCATTGAGTCCTTTCTGATTTATAATGACCCCAATGGGGCAGTTCTACCCCCATTATAAAGTTTCCAAGTCTGTAAATCTTTACAGAAGCAGACTGCCACATATTTTTCCTGCGGAGCAGCTCATGGGTTCAAACTACCAACTTTCTGGTTAGCAGCTGATTGCTTAACCACTGTGCCACCAGGGATCTTTAACTTAAGACTCACTTCCCCCTAACCTTCTCATGTATGCATTAGAGTTACTGTTGTCAAGCTGATCTCTATAAATAATACTTTAAAAGAGTACAGTGCTTACAGCAAACATTCTTAATTAATTGAGCTAAAGTAGTGTTTGGTTTAAAGATGGGGATAGTTTCCACTGAAGATTTAAAGATTATCTTAGGGCAATAGATTCAGAGGTTCCTGCAGTCTCAGTGGGTACAGGCATATGATACTGAGTGTCTTTTCATATGCCAACTTGCCATTTGTATATCTTCTTTGGTAATGTATCTATTCAGATCTTTTGCCCACTTTTTACTTGGGTTGTTTCTTTTCTTATTGTTGAGTTCTAAGAGTTCTGTGTATATTTAAATACAAGTCATTTATCAGATAAGTGTTTGCAGGTATTTTCTCCCAGTCTGTTGTATCTCTTTTCATCCTTTTAACAGTAATTTTTGTCTAAGGATTACAAACGAAGGAGAAACACTACGTTTTCTTAGAATGGAAGAAAGTGTGCAGACATAAATCCATTGAAGTGGAAGAATGAAGTGAGGGAGTTTAAATAGAACGGGCTTGGTCTTCTCAGTAAAGTAAAGGGAGAGGTTGCTTATTGGGAGTGAGGGAGGAGCTGAGGAAAGTTGAGAGTCTTGGAAATGGAAAGTTTTGGCACATATTCTCTGGTGAATATAATAGGAAGTGAACAAGGAATGAATAAAAATACCAAGTAGAGCATTGAGGCACAACTGAAATTAGATGCTACATACCTGCAGTAAGTCTAACAGACTCTGATTTTTCATCTAGTGTATCAGGGAAGTCATGAGCCCATATTTTTTCATGGTATCCTTTTTTCAAGTATAAGCTATAAATTAGCATATCAAGTCAGTCACCATTGAGCTCTAAAGAGTGATCACAGTAGCCTTCCTTTATAGTTTAAAAATGATTAGAATTATATTTTTAATAAATAGAATCTCATATTACCCCTGGAATTCTCAATCACTCTTGCAGCATCTTGCCACTTCTTTGCACACAGTTTTGTTCATTCATTCATTCAACAAATATTGATTGAGTTCTGAAATATGTAATATACTGTTCTAGGTCCTGAGGATATAGCATTGAATAAAACATACAAAGTTCCTGCACTCAAGGATCAAATAAACATGCACAGGTGCCTGTGTACTCTATCA